CTAACAATGCGCCCCCTCGCATTTTACAGAAATAGCCAAGTGTCTTTCCCGCCTAAGCGCACTCAGAGTAAGGGGGACAATCCTCTCCAAAGGTTGCCGCTCCTTACAAAATCAACGAAGCTAATCAGACTACTGAAAGTTCATCGTAAGACCTTGCCATTTCAATGAGCAATGTCAACTTTACGCAACACTAGTATTCTCCTCATAAATTAGAAAAATATGTAAAAGTGCAGCCAAAGTTGCTTCAAAACGCTAATGCCCCCCCAAACAAAGAACAACAAAAAAGAACAAGGAACAAAGAAAAAGAAAATCACCACAAGTCCCAAATCGCTGAAGCTGAAGCTATCGGATTCTCTTCACCACTATAATACTATCGACACATCATTATAGGATAGAGTATTGTTGATCCTGTCAGAAAGGGTGTGTGTAGGCTCTAGAAAATTAAACTCGAAAAAAAAACAACCATGAAAAGTTCCGAACAGCATCAATGTAATTGGATAGGAATACTGAAAGCAATGTTAGTAGTGAATATATTTCACAAACAATTTCCCCCGCCCCCCCCCCCTCCTTTTTTTCAACACACCCCACCCTAGTGAAACAAAAAGACTAAAAGTAGATTTAATGATGCTAATAAAAAAATCAGGAGAGATGTTAAGTTATTTAGAAATTCTGATTAACTAGACTCTAGAGTTTGTGTTTTTGCACGTGCGCGCACGTATGTGTGTGTGTGGGAGGAGGGAGCTTGTATGTGTGTGTGTGTGTGTGTGTGTGTGTGTGTGTGTGTGTGTGTGTGTGTGTGTGTGTGTGTGTGTGTGCCTGTGGGTGTTAGTGTTAATGTATGTTGTATGTGTCTGTGTGAGTTTTTGTGTGCATATAGCTTTGTTTATCCATTTGTGTATGTGTCTAAATGTGTGTATGGGTTTGAAGAGAAAATAGAGAGAGGGAGAGATTGAGAGAGAGGGGGGGAGAGAAAGAGAGAGAGAAAGGGAGAGAGAAAGAAAGAGAGAAAGAGAGAGAGGGGGGAGGAGGAGGGGAGGGGGAGAGAGAGGAGAGAGAGAAGAGAGAGAAAGAGAGAGAGAGTGAGAGAGAGTGAGAGAGAGAGAGAGAGTGA